CGCGCCGCGCGCGCGCTGCGCCGCTGCCGCCGCGCCCCCCTTCGCCGTCTGTTTCCCGCCGTATGGTGTGCGGTGCGCGCACGCGCAGCGCACACGGCAGCGGCTCCCCACCCCCCTACCCACCCCGTCGCGCCGCCGCCGCCGCCCCGCCGCCCCCGCCACCGCCGCCGCCCCCGCTGTAGCGTTTGGGGGGGCGACTGGCGACGGCAAAAATGCAAGCCCCGCCCCTGGCCACTGTATTATATTGCTGCTGCTGCTGCTGCTGCTGCTGCTGCTGCTGCTGCTGCTGCTGCTGCTGCTGCTGCTGCTGCTGCTGCACTGCTACGGTCCACTAGTCACCCCCCGCTCCACCAAGGCCGAATCGCCTTCGAGGGCGGGCGTGCCACGCCGACCGCTGAGCCTTGCGACAGCCGCCACGCGTTTTTTGTCATCGAATTCTTCACCACCCAAGACAGCTTGGAGAGCTCCCGGTAACGCTACATTTCGTAACGATCGTCGCTAAACGACATCTGCCTCCTGTGCAGCCTCTGTTGGGGCGGAATGCGCGGGGTTTTCGGCGCGATGCCTCCGGCTAGTACACGGTACTGCTCTGCCGCAAACTCTCCTGCGCTCGCGTGACGTGTGGGGCGCGTGCACTGCGCTCGAAAGTCGCGATTTGGCAATAGGCGCTCGAGCCGGCGCGCAGTGGAGGGGGCGCCGCGCAGGGGGATCGGGGGGGTGCGAGAGGGGGCATGGGTCGGGCGCGCACCGGCCGGCTCCGGGAGCGGCCGTCACGTCGAAGAGGGGACCTGGTGCTGCTCGAATGACGACGCATGCCGCTCTGCTGCGCCGCCGATAGCCCCTCTTCCGAGCCGGCGCGTGGCGGCGAGCCGCGGCCAGTATCGCTGGTGCGGTGGAGGCGGCAGCTTGCATCGGCCGGCAGCGGGTGCGGCCATCACGTCGATGAGGGGGGGTTGTCGGCGACTCGTGTGGCTCGAGGCCTACGCTGCGCCGCCCAAGCCCTACTGACTGCCAATCCAGCGCCTGGCGTTTGGGGCGAGCCGCGGTCGTCGTCGCTGATGGTATATGGCGGCGGCGGCGGCGGCTCGCCCTTCCCTCCGGCCGCAATTCCGATCCCGCCGCGCTCGCGGGAGGTGGCGCGCCCACCGCGGCACGTGCCGTGGCTGCGCATATACACCTTACCCCTTTCTCCTCAACGGCTATCCGTGCTTGCTGTGCCCCTGCGTGGTGTGTTTCAAGTTCTTACAACCCAAGGTGATAGAGGGCAAAAAGATCGATTGCGCTCTTGCCGATCCGCACCTACCTAGGCTCTTGGGTGGCGCCCCCAGCTCTTCACAACGAACCTGGTTTTCTGGCGGCATGAGCGAGGAGCGCGCTGTCAGCCTGCTGCTGGCCGACCTGGCGGTGGGCGACCTGGTCGCGCTGCGAGCCCTCGTCTCCGGGCGGCGGACGCGCGGCAGGCTCGACGCGCGGCTCGACACCGAGAAGCAAGACACGCTGCTCACCTGGGCCGCTCGGCACGGGCAGGCCGAGGCGGTGCGGCTGCTGCTCGAAGCCGGCGCGAGCGTTGGGGCGACGGGCGGCGGCGGCCGCGCCGCGCTGTTCATCGCGTGCCAGAACGGCCACGTCGAGTGCGTCCGGCTGCTCCTCGAGGCCAGCGCGGCGGTCGGCCAAGCCTCCAACAGCGGCGCCACACCGCTGTTCATCGCGTGCCAGTACGGCTACGTCGAGATCGCGAGGCTGCTGCGCGACGCTGGCGCGGCGGCCAATCAAGCCAATCAGGATGGCACCACGCCGCTGCTCATCGCGTGCCAGAATGGCGACCTCGAGATCGTCCGGCTGCTTCTCGAGGCCAACGCGGCGGCCAACCAAGCCGACAAGCAAGGCGCCACGCCGCTCTTCATCGCGTGCCAGAACGGCTACCCCGAGATCGTTCGACTGCTCCTCGAGGCTGGCGCGGCGGTCAATCGAGCACCGCCGCATGGCGCCACACCGCTGTACATTGCGTGCGAGAAGGGCCACCGCGAGGTTGCCAAGCTCCTTTCCTCCTACGGCGCCTCCCGCGCCGCTACGCCCTTCGGCACGCCCGAGGAGATCGCAACCGATGGAGGCCACGCCGACCTCGCCGCTTGGCTGGTCGCCAGCCGCGGTTGGACGCCGCTCCAGCACCTCGAGGCGTGCCCCGAGACTAGCGGCCGAAGGCATGAGCGCGTTGTCCTCACTCCCATTGCACCTCTTCCGCAGGCGCTCACCGTCGACCGGGCGCGGGCGCTGCTGCGCGGCGGCGCGGACTCTTCGGCCGGCGAGCCGTCGGCCCTCGAGCGGGCGCGCGTCCTCTGCTCGTGGGGCGAGTCGGATCCGACCGCTGCGGCCGTCGGCTCCACCGTCGCGATCCACTCTCTCGTCTCGCGGCCGTCGATGAACGGCAAGGTCGGCGTCGTCGTCTCCGCAAACACTTCGACGGCCCGCTTCGGCGTGCGCGTGGCGGGCGAGGCCAAGGCCCTCGCACTGAGGCGCGCTATGGCCTCTCCCCCACTCGCCGGATCCTCTCTTTGGACACACCCCACGCCTCTGCCCTCCCTCAGGCCGGCCAACCTGCAGCCAGCGGCCGAGGCGGTGGAGGTGGGCAGGCTCATCCTCAAGGCGGCGGAGTGGTCACCGCAGTCGCACGAGCTCTTCCCGGAGGCGGCTCGCAAGCGGGCGGTCGCGGTGATGCGGCTGGGCTACCTGATCGCTTGGGACGAGGAGCGCTTCGACGGCGAGGGGGCGGCGCCGGGGCTGGTGGACCTCTGGCGCAGCTTTGTGCTGCCAAGGGTGGTGGTGCGGGCCGCCGCAGGCGCACCGCGTTCCCCATGATGCATGGATCCCATGTAGCATGAAGCATACAACAGCGCGTCTAGGAAAAGCCCAGTTGGGAGACAACGGCCTGGGCACTTGGAACACTTGGAGTGCAGTCATTTGCCTCACATCCAGGGCCGAAAACAAGTAATACAACTCTCTCTCACAGCAGACAGGCTCGGAAAGAAGAAACCCCTTAGGCCCCAAGTCGGGCAAATCATCAGCCATGTTCACTCGAGCCCCTCTCGCGCTCGCCCTTCTCACGGCGGCGGCCTGCCCCGATCCGAGGGTTTCGACGTGGGCGGCAGGCCGTCGTCACCGTAGCCCTGCTCCCAGGAGCAGGACACGAGGCAATGTTCGTCCCTGGCTCGCTTCCCCCCCAACCCCCAGTTCTATCCCCCAGTCCCAACCCCCTCCAATCCCCAGTGTCGCCACGTACCTGCGCAGAAACCCGTATGCGCTGTGATCGGTTCCCGATCCATCCCGCTCGCCGTGCCGCATGAGAGCTACATGGAGAAGCCGGACGCCTTGGCGTGCCGCCGATCGCTGTCGGTGAAACTGTTCGGCGCCTATAAACGGTGAAGCCTCCAGCGTGAGGGGCTGCAGAGGGGAGCAGAGGGGCGCAGAGGGGAGCAGAGGGGAGTGGCCGGGGGAGGCTCCCAATGCAATCTCGACTCGGGTATTATAATCTCGGGTAATCTCGGGGAGTCCAAGGTAATCTCGCACCTTCCACTCGGCCGCATCGGACGGCGGCGCCGCCCGGGCTTGCTTCTTCCCGCCGCCCCCGCAGAGGACGCGGCGCAGCACCTAGAAACAGAAGTCTCCGCCGCGTCGACTCCGTGTTCTCGGCGCCGCGCAGAGGATGGCCGAGCACCGCCAAGAGCGCGAGGCCAAAAGCCACACCGCCGAGGATCTCGACCAGGCTCAACGAGAGGGAGGTGTCCTCCGGGACAGGGGTGGAATGGAGCTCCAGCAGCGGTGGCGGCGGCGGCGCCGTCGGAGAGGATAGCCACCACATCTGCACCTAGAAAAGACGAGCAAGCGCGCGTGATGTCGCCTTTCGGGTCGGGTCGCGGCCCTCCGTTTGCCCACCGGCGGCGGCGGCGGCGGCGAGGGCGGCGGCGGCGGCGGCGCGGGTGGCGGCGGCGGCGCGGGTGGCGGCGGCGGCGTCTCGAGCGGCGGCGGCGACGGTGCCGAATCGCGCGGCGGCGGCGGCGGCATGAGCGGCAGAGGCGGCGATGCTGCCGGCTTAGGGACCACCGGACCGGCGGCTTTTGGCTTTGTCGCCATGACTGACGGTGTGGGGGGGCTGTGCGCTGTGCTGAACGCCGAGGCGGCGTCTCTTCACACAAAAACACAACCACGGACCCAAGACGCACCAAGCAAGCACAGACAGTCGAGAAGGGAGAGACAGCGTCTCTTCACACAGCGTCTTTCCACCAAAACGCCGGGGCCCGAAAGCCAGACTCGCAGAAACGGGGTCCCAGGGCAGGGCAGCCTACCCGATGTCGCTCTGTGCGCACACCCATCTCAGGACGAACAAACCCGCGAGCCCGCTCTAGAAGCGCCGGCGGCGCGGACAGGATTGGCTGGAACGGCGAGTCCGCCGGCGCCACCTCGTGCCCCGGCGGGCAGAGGGTGATTGGCAGCAGGTGCGGCCTCGCGCGGCTCAGCTCCTCGGGGAGGAAGAGGTCGGTCGCCTCCGAGCGGAGCGCCTGCACACACCCGGCGAGGGTCAGAGGGTTGGAGCATATCGCTCGGCCGAGGCGGGGTCCACGCGGGGAGAGAGGGGGGCGGATCGAGGGGGGCGGAGGTAGCTAGGGCGGAGGTATGTGTGAGGAGAGGCGGCGCGCCTGTGCCGCCGTCCTGCCCTCGCCGACCGCGTCGCTGTTGATGGCGGCGTGCGTGAGCACAGCGTGTGGACGATGGCCTTTTTAGTCTCTGCGCCGGTTACGTTTTCTTTTCGGGTCTCGTGGGTTCCAAGTGCACTTGGAACCGACGAAAGCGAAGACGGTTGGCACCGGGGTGGTTTCACTGCGGGTCCCTCTAACCTCTGGCCGACGTTGACGGATTGCAAGCGGGCTCTCGGGCGGCGCGGAGATGTTCAAGTGCCAAGAGAGTGTTGGCACATCAAGTTCAAGAGAGTGCGGAATCCGAAAAAAACGCGGGGGCCGCGCGCGACGTGCAGGCACAAAGTGCTTTGTGCTGGCATTCCTCTTCATCTCTCGTTGTATTCTCAGCATCTATCTGTCGCGGAGGAGGGTTTTGGACAAGTCCTCCGCGGTGACTCGGGGCGATTGGAGCCGCGAATGGAGCTCGCAACGGAGTGACGAGGCGCATGTAACGACCCGGGGGTCCCGATAATCGAATTGAGGAGGACGGGCGGTCCCATTGTGTGTAACGAACTCTCTGAACGCCGCACGGGAGTGTGAGGGCCTCGGAGAGAGCCCCTGTCGTTCAGTCTCGGGCCGCCAACAGGCTCCTGACTTCAGTCCGTGAGTGCGACAGAGTGTCGTATTCACCGTAGCCCCCCTTTGAGCAAACGTAAACCAACTTAGACCAGCTGAGGATCTCAATACGCAACAGCATAGACGCAAGACCGAGCATTGACGTTACTACGTACGACCTTGACCTGACTGCACGACGCACTGGACCATCGCTCCAACAGCGATGGAGGAGCATCACCACGACGACCGAACCGCGGAGTGCCAGCTGCCCCCCTCGAGGGGCACTTCGCGAACTGGCACAGAAGGTTCGAGACGGCACGGATCTTGTGCTCCTATGCGCGGGTAGGATTGAGTCCTGTCACGGCGATCTGCTGAGGAAGGGGATCCTGGCCGAAGCGGCGCAGCTCGAGGCCACCAGCAAGAAGAAGCCGCGCTCCGACAAGGGCAAGCCGAGGGGTCCTCGGGGGCCCAGGGCCGACTCGGTGGAGACGGCGGCCCGCATGGGGGTGATGTCGACCTTCTACCTCCGGCACGCTTATGGACGGGACAGCCCGGGGCTGCATGAGGAGGACGGGGTGCTCTCCGCGAATGGGGGGTTCTGTGTGCGGGTGCGGAGAGTTACCTCTGGAGG